ATACACCACCTCTGAGCATTGACCATCCCCAGCCTCCACAACGCTTCCTCTTAAAAAGGAAAACAAAAACCTTCCCTGTCATTCTACCTTTGACCTCTTTCTCTCTCTCAAAATCTTCCACAAAAAAGCATTAATATAAGTAAATAAAATAAAAGCGAGTTTCTTTAAAGACTATTAGAAATAATCCCTTTGCTAAAATTCAGTTCTGTGATTAAGTACCAAAATGAAAGGACAGACAATGTGGGTCATAAGTTTCTAATGTGGAATTCAAATGCTACTGCCAAAAGTGATATATTAGCTATGACCAGCATATGGGATCAACACATGCTAGATAATGGGTCATATTACTTATAAGAACAACTCATGAAATAATTTCCTCACTGAGTACAAATTTGCTGCTTTTGCACTGTGCTGTGTCTTTTAGTCAAGCTGTCAGTCTTCTACTCAATAAACACAGTCCTGAAAGAAGTACTGCCAAGCAGCTTAAGAGAAGAATCTAACCTATTATAACCCTAAAAAAGAACGTATTTATTCTCCAGAAGACAAAAATAAGTCACAAAATTAAATTAAGGCTAAGCAAAGGTAAAAAAAATTTACCAACAATCCACACTATCAGAAAGAAGCAGATTCTGTAACATGACTGTGTTTATCAACAAAATTAAGAAAATGGTGTGTTTCTCAGGTAAAAAGAAAAATTACTGATAAGGAAAGGGATTTGGCTTTCAACTGCTAGAAATATTCAGGACATCTCACCTCTGAGAAGTTAAGGACGGACCAAGATCCTGGCAGAACATAATAGAGAAAATAAAATAAAATTAGAAGTTCTGCCCAGGAGGCTCAACATACATCTAAATAATAAAAGGTACAAGAAAAAAGAACACAGGAAACTGAGTAAGTGGGAGTGGAGACAGATCTAAGATGATGTAGGAGCTACAAGTATAAAGAGCCACAAGCCCAGATTAGAGTTCATCAGAATATACCATGGGAGAAACATGAAACTGACAGAAAGGCCAGGAGTGGTGGCTCATACCTATATTACTAGCACTTTGGGAGGCCAAGACAGGAAGATCCCTTGAGGCCAGCAGTTTAAGACATGCCTCAGCAACACAGTGAGACCGCTCCAAAAAAAAAATGAAAAAAACAAAAACAAAAACAAAACAAAACAGGTGTGGCAATGTGCAACTGTAGTCCCAGCTACTTGGGAGGCTAAGGCGGGAGGATGGTTTGAACTCAGGAGTTTAAGGCTGCAGTGAGCTGAGATCGTGCCACTGCACTCAAGTCTGGTTGTCAGAACATGACCCTGTCTCAAAAAAAGACAGAAAAGAGAAAAAGAAATTGATAGAAGATGGGATTGATAAATATCAGGTGTGCCTGAATGTGCTGAGGGGAGATTTAGACAATAAGGGAAGTGTTTGGGGTGAAAAATACGGCAATATATACATAGAAACAGTCACTTTCTCCTCAATGCTCCCATACAGTATTATACAGACCTTTATTCTAACACTTAAAATTACATTGTAATTACTGATTTACATATCTGTCTCTCTTCATATGTAGTAATTAACTCAGGAAAAAACAAGATGTACGCAAGAAAGGAAAACGACTGTTGTATAGTAAACTGCTTAAGTGGGTACAGTTTTTAGGTTGTCATAATAATGTAAGCATTGAATAAAGTTTTAAACAAAATTATTACATAACTCTTTAGGAAGAATGAGGGATAGAAGTATGCACGTGTAATGAGGCAAGAGGTGGTAAAGAGCTAAACATTAATTGTCCATGTAGAAATCAACAGATTATTCCTAACACTAAAAATAAATCAAGAAATATCAATGAAAGTATATTGTTTAGTGACACAGAAGTAAATACCAAAAGAAAGACCTAAAGGTTGAAAGTAGTAGCCCCTGGGGAGTAAGATGTGGGAAATGGGAGACTATCAACCAACCAACCTATGACAGGGGATGGTATTTTTCACAAAATACTTTGAAAAACTATCTGGCTCAAGTTCCATGCATGTTTAACAGTGGTAAAAATTCAAATGAAAATTTTTAAAAAGCAAATGAAGGAGAGAAGGCATTGCTATGATCTCTCTCCACTTTCTCCCAGTGACCTCTGGAAATAGAGCTGAGCCTAGTTTGCATTCACAAGGGAGACATAAATCCACAGTGATGAAGGCGGAAAACTTTGAGAAGAAAGTACTATTAACCACTCTGAGCCAGACCCTGAACATGATGCTCAGGGCCACCCAGTTCCTGAAAGTATTTTCATTTGTAAAACTGCCTGTGACCATTAGAGAACTTGGGTACTTTTCATAGAAAAGGGTTGTCATTTCCCGGACATTTGGAGACAAGCACAATGCTTCTGATGTCCTAAGAGAAACTGCCAGGCAGGCATGCTGTGAGCTATTGCAAAATTGCTTTGATTCATCCCTCTGAAAATATAAACTGTTCCATGACCCGTGATTCACATGCAAATAATGTGCCAAAGCTGACTGCTGTAAACCAAAGTTATGATATGCAAAGGATCTCTAACTTGCCTCCCTAAACACTCAACCAACCATTTGCCAGTCTAGAAGAATTTGATAATGTATACCTCTGAAGTAAAAGCAGCTATGTAATCAAGTGAATTTTTAGTGACTTGTACAGAGATAGGGAGGAATTTAACATTTCCCCTCTTGGAAAAAATTCCAAGAAATTTTTAAATAAATTTATTCTTAAAATACAAACAATAATAAATACACTTAATTATCTTTTATGGGATTTAAATGTTTTAAATATGGCAGTAAACCCTTTGAGTGGTAAGACAGCTTCAATTAAACAGAGATAGATTAAGTGATGAGGAGTTCCTCTGTATGCCAATCTCTAATTCTGTTAAAATATCCGTGGAAATGTAGCAAGATAGAAAATAACATATTTGTCAAACTTCATTCTATATAGTATGCAGCTGAAAGAAAGATTTTCCTTCAAACCTTTTGTTTTGCAAATTTTTTTAACTCATAGAAAATATCAAAAATAGACTATAAATACCCATATATCATTCACCTAGATATTGCTAACTGTTAAGATTTTACCACATTTGTGTTCTCACTCTGACTCGATATTTCTCTCTTTTTCTCTGTGGTATGTCTATTTGTACACACACATACATGTCTTTTTTCTGAAATATTTGGAAGTTGTATACTTTTTTTTTTTTACTTTATCTCTTAAGTATCTCAACATGCATATCATAAGAATAGGAATAGTCTCCTTCATAACCACGATATCACTATCATACTTAAGGAAATTAGTAATTCAATATCATATAATATAGTCCATATTTAAACTTTTCTAATTTTTTTATAGCCGTTTTTATTTTGTTTTCTCCTCCAGGACCCAGTCAAGTCTCACCATTGCATGTGGTTGTTACATCTCCATAAGAAATGTTTAAATAAGCTACAATGGGTAATCTGATATCAGATGGCATACTCCAGCAATACTGATGACCTCCCTGGAGGATAAGCCCAGTTAATTGTGGGCCCAGCTTTAGTTTTGTTGAGAGAATACAAAATATGAGGTCAAAACTGAACTGAAAGGGCAACAGAGGAAAGATTACCTTCTTAACACCAATGTTCTTATAAAACATTTAAATGCTTATTTAAAAGTAAGGCTGAAAAGTAAAACCACAGTGAGATACCACCTTACTCCTGCAAGAATGGCCACAATTAAAAAGTCAAAAAATAATAGATGTTGGCATGCATGCGGTGAAAAAGTAACACTTTTACACTGCTAGTGGGAATGTAAATTAGTACAACCACTATGGAAAACAGTATGGAGAGTCCTTAAAGAACTGAAAGTAGACTACTATTTGATCCAGCAATCCCACTACTGGATATCTACCCCCCAAAAAAGATGTCATTATAGGAAAAAGATACATGCACATGCATGTTTATAGCAACAGAATTTGCAATTGCAAAGATATGAAGTGCCTATCAATGAGTGGATAAAGGAAATGTGATACACACACACACACACACACACACAGACACACACCCCCACCATGGAATACTACTCAGCCATAAAAAGGAATGAAATAATATCTTTTGCAGGAACTTGGATGGAGCTGGAGGTCATTATTCTAGTCATTATTCTAAGTGAAGTAACTCAGGAATGGAAAACCAAATTTCACATGTCATCACTTACAAGTGGGAGCTAAGCTGTGAGGACACAAAGGCATAAAAATGATATAATGGACTTTTGGAACTCAGGGGCAGGGAAGCTTGGAGGGGGTTGGTGAGGGATAAAAGACTACATATTGGGTACACTGCTCAGGTGACAGGTATACCAAAATCTCAGAAATCACCACTAAAGATCTTACCCATGTAACCACAAACCATCTATACCCCAAAAACTATTGAAATAAAAAATTTTTTTTTTAAAAAATCACTGTCGGCTGGGCACAGTGGCTCACGCCTGTAATCCCAGCACTTTGGGAGGCCGAGGCAGGTGGATCACAAAGTCAGAAGATAGAAACCATCCTGGTTAACACGGTGAAACCCCATCTCTACCAAAAAATACAAAAAATTAGCCGGGCATGGTGGCAGGCACCTGTGGTCCTGGCTACTCGGGAGGCTGAGGCAGAAGAATGGCATGGACCTGGGAAGCGGAGCTTGCAGTAAGCCGAGATTGCGCCACTGCACTACAGCCTGGGTGACAGAGCGAGACTCTGTCTCAAAAAAAAAATTAAAAAAATAAATAAATAAATTACTGTCATATTAACAACAAAAAAGCAAATAAAACAGCTGACTAGGTTTAAAAAAAAAAAAAAGGAAAGCTGAGAGTACAGAGTACACCTTGGAGAGCAACCTCAAATTTTAAGAAATGCCAAAGTAGTGGCATATCCAGGACACCAAATTATTAAACTATTCAAAGTTATCTTGGCATTATTCTAGGTTTGGAAAAATCATAAAATGTATTATTTTTCACTTAACAATAAACTAACAATAGGAGTAATGGACCCCAAATTACCTCTTCTGTAGCTGTTCATCAGACAGTTGCAGCTCCTCTTTTAAACGCATATACCTGTCTTCTCTCAGCAGCCTAGAACCATCATAGAGGCTTAGCTCTCGATCATGGATTAACCTAACAAGATAAGAAAAAAATCTGAAAATAAATTAATCTGTTTTGAACACTGAAGTTTTTAGAGGCAGAATCAGTCAGCCAACATTCTATTATTGCTGGCAATTGAGTCTAATAATTTTGTTAGATGGACCTTTCAAAAGTTCAAATTGGCTAGTGCTGTTATACTTGGCAAAACTGTTGGTTTCTGTACCAGAGGGCAGCAGTCATAAATACCTGATAGGGATATGAAAGAGGGGGAGGAGGAAAAAAAGAAAGGAGGAGGAGGGAGAGCAAAAGAAACAGCTGAATGAGTGTCTCAAGATAACCACAAGGTACATATTAATAAACAAGGCAGGTGGCACTTACTCTCTTCAGTCTAAAGTAACTCTGCAAGAGTTGGCACAAAAATATTTCTATCTTTGGAATTACAATATTTAAAAACACCAAAAATCTTTATAATGAAATAACCACATTGCTTTACATATGGCAACTCTGATGGTGACCTAAACATCCACATCACACACAGCATAGTCTTCCAAATGTTGCAATGGCTGAAAAGCACTGTTCTATATCTCACACCAACCCCTAAGTCTCCTATTGTCCACAATAGAGTTAGGCTACATAGCCTCCATTCTATAAGCACTGAAGGGAGGGGAGGCTGTATAAACGCAGTGGGTAGGAGCGTGGGCGGTGGAACCAATCAGACCCGGGTTCAACTCCAGCTGTGCACCTTACTAGCTGAATGAGTGGGGAGAGGGAGAATGACTCTGTCTCTCTAAACTCATCTTCAATAATGTTAAGGCAGTCACAACTTCACAATATTAATGTGAAAACTAAACAGCTAATGTAAAATGGATGCTTAATATAGTTGTTCTCAATCTTGACTGTACATTAGAATCTTCTGGGAAGTGTTTAAAAATACCAATGTTCAGACCTTGGCCTAGACCAATTACATCAGAACATTCTGATGGCGAAGCCCAGGTATGAGGTTGTTGTTGTTGTTTTTTTTTTTTTTTTGAGACAGTCTCGCTCTTGTCACCTAGGCTGGAGTGCAGTGGTGCGATCTAGGCTCACTGCAACCTCCACCTCCTGGGTTCAAGCTATTCTCCTATCTTAGCCTCCTGAGTAGCTGGGATTACAGGTGCACACCACCATGCCCAGATAATTTTTGTACTTTATTTTAATAGAGACTGGGTTTTGCCATGTTGGCCAGGCTGGTCTCGAACTTCTGACCTCAGGTGATCCGCCCACCTCGACCTCTCAAAGTTCTGGGATTACAGGTGTGAGCTACTGCGCCGGCCTGCATCAGCACTTTTTTTTTTTTTTTTGAGACAGAGTCTTGCTCTGTCACCCAGTCTGGAGTGCAGTGGTGGGATGTCAGCTCACTGTAACCTCCACCTCCCGGGTTCAAGCAATTCTTCTGCCTCAAGTCTCCTGAGTAGCTGGAACTACAGGCACGTGCCACTACGCCCAGCTAATTTTTGTATTTTTAGTACAGAAGAAATTTCACTATCTTGGCCAGCATGGTCTCAATCTCTTGACCTTGTGATCTGCCCACCTTGGCCTCCCAAAGCACTGGGATTATAGGTGTGAGCGACTGCACCTGGCTGGCATCAGTATTTTTTAATTCCCATCCTGCAAGGTGATTCCAAGATTGAGAACCTGAGAAGCACTGGCTTAGCATAATGCCCAGCACAGAGTAGGAACTCAATTAATGGTAGTAGCTGCTTCTATTATTACTACTTGCAAACATGCAAAAGATAGCTAATAAAATGGGACTATTGTCGTGTCTGCAGTTGTCTGTTTGGGAGAAAAAAATATTGTAAATCTATGGAACGTTTATGGTAAATCACTGAAAGTTTGTGACTATTTTTAAATGTTCTAAACTCTAGTCAGGATTAACATAATGTATTTAGAATTTTTAATTACATTCAGTATCTGCATCACGTTAAGAAAAAAAAAAAAAACTCTGCGTGGTTAGTTGGGATAATGGCTTATTCTACTTATTTAACCTTTCCTAATGAGTCAAAGTTAAAAATCAAATGTCCACAAGTTAGAGAACCAAAATAAATTTAAAAAAGTCAGTATCATTAATTTCCTAAAATGATACAGGATGGGAATATTTTCTACAAAAGTTACACATGAAGAGGCTTCTCTTAACATTAAATTCTAGAGAAGTTTTAAGAATGTGTGGAAATTTTTCCCAACTAAACCCAAAATAAGAAAACAACAGTTACAGAAATGTTCAAGTTTACAACCAACAAAGTGAGCTTTTTTAGTCTATATAAAACATAATTTAAAGGTATTATATATTTTATATACAAAACTAATTTTCTCTCTCTCTCAAAAAAGATTTCGACAAGACCAACCAATAATTAAGATCTATGATTCATAAGGAGTTTGTAAATACTGAAGCTGTGACTCTGACAAATTACAGAAACTTCAGCAATGTGACATGCTGCATGTATACACCTGTATATATAAAGTCTTTCAAACTGACTACTGAAGCGCTTTCTTTTTGCAGCACCTACACATGGAATTTTGCTATGGCGGTGGTTTTTCCCAAAATGTTCATTATTTGGAGTTTTACTGCATTGTGTTTATAACAATAAAAAAGTGCCATTCTACGTGGTATAGAATCATGATTTTTCAGAATCTACACAACCCAGTTTAAAAAAAAAGAGAAAGAATGAGATAGTTCCATCTTTACTGCTTAAGTCAGAGTAGTTGGGGTGTGTGTGTGTGTGTGTGTGTGTGTGTGTGTGTGTGTGTGTTTGGGGGATTTTTGTGACGCCTACCCACCTTTGCAATACAGCGAGTGTGCCCGCATTCACCCGGTGAATGCCATCCAACAGGACCAGCTTGCCTTCCAGAGCAGCATTCACAAGGGGTGAGGACCGCCAGGCAGTGTCTCCATTTGGAAGGGTGTATCTCTGCTGTAGCAGATCACGTGCTGTCATATCCTAAAACAAATCCCCACCACCCACCAAAGAACACGACAAATTAATTTTTAAGACATGCAAGGCAGCTCACATGGCTTTATAGAGTCACCACTGTCTGAACTTAACATTCCATATAACAACAGAGAAGTCATCTTCTCCAATCCCCAAAAAGAAAGCTCTTCAGAAAGTCTTTTTTTGGTCATTTTAAGAATTTTTTCCATTACTCATTATATAATATAGTGAGAGTGAGAGGTTTTTTCCCCTTCTTTATATTTAGCATTTTCTTCCACTTTTAAAATGTAAGTTTACATAATGGCAGTAATTTCTACCTGAATAACAGAATTTAACTCAATCAGCTCTATTCCTGTGTTTTCGTATGCCAACTCTTATGGTGACCTAACCATCCATGTGTTGACTCAATTTTAAAATGAAGAATCTTGTAGTATAGTTTGAAGTCAGGTACCGTGATGCCTCCAGCTTTGTTCTTTTGACTTAGGATTGTCTTGGAGATGCGGGCTCTTTTTTGGTTCCATATGAACTTTAAAGCAGTTTTTTCCAATTCTGTGAAGAAACTCATTGGTAGCTTGATGGGGATGGCATTGAATCTATAAATCACCTTGGGCAGTATGGCCATTTTCACGATATTGATTCTTCCTATCCATGAGCATGGTATGTTCTTCCATTTGTTTGTGTCCTCTTTTATTTCACTGAGCAGTGGTTTGTAGTTCTCCTTGAAGAGGTCCTTTACATCCCTTGTAAGTTGGATTCCTAGGTATTTTATTCTCTTTGAGGCAATTGTGAATGGAAGTTCATTCATGATTTGGCTCTCTGTCTGTTACTGGTGTATAAGAATGCTTGTGATTTTTGCACATTAATTTTGTATCCTGGGAACTAGAAGTACCATATCACCCAGCCATCCCATTACTGGGTATATACCAAAGGATTATAAATCATGCTGCTACAAAGACACACGCACACGTATGTTCGCTGTGGCACTATTCACAATAGCAAAGACTTGGAATCAACCCAAATGTCCATCAGTGACAGACTGGATTAAGAAAATGTGGCACATATACACCATGGAATACTTTGCAGCCATAAAAAAGGATGAGTTTGTGTCCTTTGTAGGGACATGGATGCATCTGGAAACCATCATTCTTGGCAAACTATTGCAAGAACAGAAAACCAAACACTGCATGTTCTCACTCATAGGTGGGAACTGAACAATGAGATCACTTGGACTCAGGAAGGGGAGCATCACACACCGGGGCCTATTATGGGGAGGGGGGAGGGGGGAGGGATTGCATTGGGAGTTATACCTGATGTAAATGACGAGTTGATGGGTGCTGACGAGTTGATGGGTGCAGCACACCAACATGACACAAGTATACATATGCAACAAACCTGCACGTTATGCACATGTACCCTAGAACTTAAAGTATAATAAAAAATAAAATAAAATAAAATGAAGAATCATGCAAACTCAACATGCAGAGATGTTTATCAATAATGTGCATTTTCTTGCAGTTGATGAGTTTCCCTGAAAAGCTATGCTAGGACCATCACAGGGACTCATTTTATTTAAAGAGACTTCATAATGGAGGAAATTGAGGATAGTCATCAGATGAGGTACAGGAATTGGGAAACAATAGCATAGCACTTACAAGCAATTTTTAAAAGCACACACACAATGTGCTAACAATAAAATAGTGTAACAGACTTAAGCAAACTATTAACAGTTGTGGCATATAAAAGTTTATCTACTGTAAAAAAAACTGGAGCTATATAATATGAACAATTTTTTCTTACATGCATTAATGTGGATAGTTTCTTTTCTATTACCTTCAGATACATTTTGTGTGACTTACAGCAAACAAAAGTTAAACACATTTACAGTCACTTTTATCCAAATATTTAAAGTCTTCTGTAAATTCTTGGCTACATACTCCCAACTTTCAGCAGATAGAAAACTAATTAATTTGCTTTATATTCATAATGGCAACGAATCTGTATTGAAACCAAGATTAAAATTTAAGTCTTAATTATTTCAATCTTCTCACTATCAAGAAAGTACTGACTAAATGGCTATTATTAAAAATTCAAAAAACAACAGATGCTGTCGAGGTTCTGTAGAAAAAGGAACATTTTTACACTGTTGGTGGGAGTGTAAATTAGTTCAACCACTGTGGAAGACAGTGTGGCAATTCCTCAAAGACCTAGAGGCAGAAATACCATTCAACCCAGCAATCCCATTACTGAGTATATACCCAAAGGGATATAAATCATTCTATTATAAAGACACAGCATGCATATGTTCATTGCAACACTATTCGCAAGAGCAAAGACATGGAATCAACCTAAATGCCCATCAATGATAGACTGGATAAAGAAAATGTGGTAAATATACACCATGGAATACTATGCAGCCATAAAAAGGAACTAGATCATGTCCTTTGCAGGGACATGGATGGAGCTGGAGGCCATTATTCTTAGCAAACTAACGCAGGAACAGAAAACCAAATACCACATGTTCTCACTTATAAGTGGAAGCTGAATGATGAGAACACATGCACACATGGTGGGGAACAACACACACTGGAGCCTGTCAGAGGGTGAGTGGAGGGAGGAGGGAGAGCATCAGGAAGAATAGCTAATGGATGGTGGGCTTAATACCTGGGTGATGGGATGATCTGTGCAGCAAACCACCACGGCACACGTTTACCTGTGTAACAAACCTGCACATCCTGCACATGTACCCCTGAACTTAAAAGTTGGAAATTTTAAAAAAAGAAAGTACTGACTTAGGAAGTATGAATAGGCTCATTTTGAATCATAAAGACCTTCGAAAAACAGTAACATTCAAACTCAGCAAGTTCTCGTAAACTTAAAAGGCTGGTTTTGACGTATTGTCGAAATTTGTCCTTTTTAAATAATTTTATTTAGTTCTTCAACTATGAATTCTAAATTCTATGCAAACTATATGAGCAATATCACTCTCTTGCTGCCAATGACAGTTACAACAACCAAGACTAAATTGATCACCATCATCCGTGTTTACTGAGCCAGTCACGACATTCCTCATCTTTTCCTGGGACCAAGCAAAAGATTCATTCCCACTCATGTTTATGCTACAGAAAACTAAAGGGATCACTCTCAAGGAGAACAGGACAAAATCAAAATAAGTATCTGTGGGTCATTTTTATAGTCAAACTATGACAACAATCCAATATTATATATGTATATACATATGCATATAAATATATATGTGTGTGTATATATTTATGTATACAAATATATACACACATAGAATTTTTTTAAGTAAATATAAAAACAGATAAATTTAAAGAAAACTCTTGGTATGAATTATTCCAGAAAAATATTTGCCATAGAGTCACATCACACATTACCTTGGAAAAGTAAACAAAGAAACAGAAAACAGTTTAGCCCTGTGGTTCAAAATTAAAGATACATTATCAGAAACAGCTGGGGAACTTTTGAAACATATATAAACTTAAGCTCCACCACCCTGAAGATTCTGATTCATCAGGGCCAACATGGGGCCTACCATCTGTTTTTTATTAAACATTACATAGATGATTCTGATATGCCTCCCAGGTGGGAAACACTGCTTTAAAAGACATTAAGTTAAAACTCATTTATTTATACCCTTCCTTGTTCTAATATGATGTGAGACTGCAAAAAGATATACAAAATGCACAACAAAATAACATAAATTAAAAGTAAAGTTAAAAAATAAGGGAAAAAAGAGTAGGCTTTGTCTATTTTGAGGATTCCTATTGGAATTCAGCGAGGAGAGATGAAGGCATTCAATTAATATCACATTTTCAAAGAAACTAATGGATGTTAATTTTGAAAATCACAGCTTCAGACTGAAAACAGCTGATATCCTGGCCCAATAAAGGTCAGGAGTCTTTCGCTTGGGTCCAGCATAAGATGAGGAATGTTGTGACTTTAGCAGATATAAGAGGCTCAGACTCCTAAAGAACTGAGGCTAAAAACTGGTAACATTTTTTTTTAAATTTCAATAGAAAGAATTCCTCATTCTCATACCAACATATCTGAATCACCATTCTGTGCATGATATTAAAAAGCACTATTTCATTTGGTCATGATTCCAAAGTATTTTTATATATTATTAATTCACAGATGTATACAGTACTTACTTTATTCAAGTAAGTAAACATTTACTAATAGAGATGATAAGAAAGACAACTAGTACATAGGGCTCTTCTTTTCCAGTCTAGTAGTTGGAGACTCCCTTACATTTGCTAAAGTAAAATGAATGATTATTTGTTGCTATACAATATGCAGCCGCAGATCAATATAGCTCAGTGCTATAAATGCCAACCAAACCTATAGACCAGAAATGTTCTTCCTCTTTTCAATCTTCAGAGGGATAGAACATGGGAAATACTTGATATTTCTTAGAAGACTAGCTCAGTTAAATTTTATCACCTAAACTCTGTATACCATCACATTAGAAAGAGCCATTCTTCATTTCTAATAAACACATACGTGCAGATAGACAAACAGATGATTGATTGATAGATAGATAGATAGATAGATAGATAGATAGATAGATAGATAGACAGACAGATAGACAGACAGACAGACAGACAGACAGATAGAGAGAGATTTTTAAAAAGTATTTTGTAGAGACAAGTTCTCACTCTGTTATCCAGGGTGGTCTTGAACTCCTGGCCTCCGGCAATCCTCACACTTCAGCCTCCCAAAGTGGCAAGATTACAGGCATGGGCCACTGCCAATTTCTAATAAACCTTTGCATCAAAATAAAAACCTTCCTAAGAGAAAGAAAAGCACTCCCTTTAATATAAGCTTTTGGTTTTCATAATTAAGAACGTCTATTGAAAGACAAACATTTCAGCTTTTCCTTAAAGAGATAGTTGGCCCTACTTTCCCCAATATTAGTTGTTATCAGAAGCTATTTTCAATTGTGTGAAAGTGCAAGGACACCAAAGTAAAACCAAACTTTCACAGAA